GCCGTTAGTTCTTGATAGTCAGGAGTGCTGGACAGGTACACATAGAGGGCGGTGCAGATGCTGCAGAGGTGCTTTTGCAACTCCGTCTTTACAAGTACAGCACATGGCATCTAAGTTGAAGGACCCTACCGGGGCTTCATTGCCAGGGTGGAAATGGGGCACAGATGCAGAAGTCTCCTGAAACTACTTTTCTTGAAAGGGTGTCCTGCCTTGTCCCCTAAACCCATAGCAGCTCCCACAAACACAGAGACACGACCGACCTTAGCGAAAGCCCTGGGTTCAAGGTTCACTGCAACCCCGCAGAAGCCTACTTTTTTGAGGCATCAGGGTTGCGCCCTTTTAAGAGTTCTACCCTCTAATTACGGGGTCCGAACCCACTATTTCGTAGGGTTTGGGGTCACAGGCAGGGTATGATGAGGAATCACATAACAAGGAACCCGAGCCATTCCAGCGCCTTTAGGTAGGGTTCTCGGGTCTCCCCTATAAGTGCTACCTCACGCTCGAGTGGCTCGTTGGGACTGGGTTAAGGTTTATAGGCTAGTTTCTAGAGTGTAGGGTTTGGGATCCAGTCTAGGGCTGCGGGCTTAGGGCTAAGGGTTCAGAGTTTAGGGCTGGCCTTAGATGCCGTACACACACTTGTAACCAACTGTAGCTCCAAGATATACAGTATGCTGGGTTAAGGAATAATTATGAACGGAATATGCGTATATTCCTTAATTGGGGGCGGGGTGTATTGGGCTCTCTGGGCATGCATCCAACTTAGCTGCCAGGTGCGTACCAGCTTGCCAGCAACAGTGCACCGGGTACACGGAAGCAGAAGCAAACCGGGTTGTCGTACTTAGGCGAAGGTTCAAGGTCCCTGTGCCCTTAAACCCCTGGGAGCGTTTTGAGTTTTCTTTTTACCCAAATCCTTAAGCCCCTGACCTCTCATTAATATGAAACTGAGCCTCTGCACTATCACTATCAACCGCCAGGCAGGAAATGGCTGCAGGGTCGAAGGTGGAGAGTGTATAAGGATCCCTCCACAACAGGGTGTGTGCCGGGACTCATGGCAAACCTACATCCAAAATCCTATAAACCCCCAATCCTGACGGTTTAGGATTTAGGCTCGTAAATTTGAGGTTCAAGTTCGATTCAGGGTTAGGGTTTGGCGTTTTGGGTTTAAGGTCGAGGGTGTAGGATTTAGGGGCGGGGGGGGGGGGCATTAGCGTTTCGGCTATAGGCTTTAGTGACTTTACTGTATTTTTTGTTGGGGAGTGGGGTACCTTGCAACCGGGACATGGTTTATGCGACGTCGGAAGAAAAAACGCAGCAACCACATTCCCAACCTGTCAAGTAATCCCTAACCCCTAAACTCTAAACTCCAAAACTTCTTTCAGCCACTGGCCTGAGGGCCTCCTGGCTGCTTGTCAGGGAACTACTTTCTCACCCTCAAGCCTGGACCTAAACTTTACACCTCAAATCGTAAACCCCCTTGACCAAGAAACAGCAAAGACCCCTTGACGAGTAGTTGGTATGGGGCTCTAACCGGCGCATGCACCCACACAGTCAAACTTTGGCGTTACAAGGGCTTTGGATTTTCGGTTGTTTAGGGTCAATGTATCTACCAAATCAGCAGCCCTAAGTAGGTACTACTCTAATACGGCCAGTGTATATACTGTTTGGATACATTGACCCTTATACCCTAAACCCCTGCTTAACGGAACCCTAAACCCTAAGCCCTAGACCTTAAACCCTGAACTTACCTCCGAGACCCTAGACCCCAACTGAAAGGAACCCTTAAAGGACCTTAGTTGGGCACATGGACCCCTATACCCTGAATCCTTACCTAACGGATCCCTGGAAGGAACCCTCAAAGGACCTTATTTGGGTACATGGACCCTTATCCCTAAGGCTCAAAATAGCCCAAAAGCTATAGTATGGTCTTGGGGCCCAAAAGCCTTAAAATATGAGTCCTTAGAGCCCCTATAAACCCTATAGATCCCTTTAAAGGACCCCTCATAGATCCCTTTAAAGAAGTCTATAGGAGTCCTTAGAGCCTAATGGTATGAGTATGTGGGCCCCTCCGGGGCGTGCTTCTTTGCGTACTCGGCTCTGTCGAAAGCGTCAGGAGCGAGGCCCTCGCTGCTACAACAGCGCTGTTCTCTGCAGGACCTTAGCGCCCAGTTTGATCTTTCGTTAAGTCCTGGATTGTAGTGTATACCCAGAGGCTCCATAGTAGTTCCTTTTTGGGATTACCTTATAGGATTCTATATATGAACCCCCAAAAGGAACTACTTTGGAGCCTTAGGGTGCTTTAGGAATTTCTTTTGGGGGGTTTTGGGGCCCCATAATATTTAGAATGTTTTGGTGTATCTGAACCTATAAGTATAGTGAGAAACCCAAGGAAGTATAGGGGTATTTGTTCATGCCCCTATGTTACAGAAACCCGAAGTCGAAGACCAAGGACAACACTGTGGTCGTATCCCACATGTGCATTCCAAGGAGTTCGAACCGGACTTTGCATCTGAGCCTTGGATCACCGCTCTTGGCCATATCTTCGGAGGACGACAACTGCTGCGAGTAGTAGTCGTGGTGGCGGAGTGGTGGCGGTGGCAGCGGTGGTGTTAAAGCTACTGTTGCAAATGCTGCAGCTACTACGACGACAACTACTACCACCACCGCTACGCCGACTACCTAAGTACACAATTGAAAGCAGAGCCAGGGAGACTGAGATACAGAGAGAGAGTCCCCACTTGGAGGGGCAGGGGACTTAGTAAGTAGGTTACAAGTAGGGTTATCATTGGGGTAGCTCCATTTAGGGTACTTATAACTCTACTTATAACCTACTTACTAAGTCCCCTGCCCCTCCAAGTAGACCCTAAACCCTAAACCCCATAGATCCCTTTAAGGAACCCTATACATCCCTTTAAGGGAGCCCTTTAAGAGCCCTAAGTCCCCTGCCCTTCCAAGCAAGTGTCAATGCCATGGTGTTGGAAGGTTGGCCATGGCCCTGCAGAACTTCCGAGACACCGTGGATGGACAATATAAATCCTCAAGGGCTCCTTTTTTAAGGGGATCTATAAGGGTACCTTTAAGGGATTCCATGAAGGGGTCTATAGGGGTTTTAGGGTTTAGGGATATAGATCCTGCATGACCCAGTAGAAGGAATATACCATGGTTCCCATAGTTTAGGGTCCTTAAGGTCATGCAGGATTTTGTCCATCAACAGCATCACTCAACCCTAACGTAAAAATGTCCTAGGTACTGTTATGGGGGATACTTCCCCAAATCATACAGAAACCCTACATTCTACTATATAGGTACTTCTAGGAACCTTTAAAGGAACCCTAAACCCTTGAAGAAACCCCCAAAAAGGAACCATTCTACTGTATAGGTACTTTGGACCCTTAGGAAGAACCCAGATCCGACGAAAGCGCCGCGCCGGAATCAGAAGCCAAACGCGGTGTCTTCCGCCGGGTCTGTGTTCCTGTGTCTTTAGGGTTTAGGGTTTTGGGTTTCCTGCGTCAACTAGCCAATGGTTTTGGGGTTCCCTTGGCTCTTTAGCTCCTTCTTTAGTAGGGATTGTCATCATAACTGGCTTCTTAGCTCCTCCAGCATCAATGGCTAGTCAACCGCATCAGTTTGCCCTAGGTGCTCGGAGAAAGTCTAGTGTAGTGTCAGTACACGGAGTAGGGCTCCGGACGAAAGTTGCGGGTTATACTCCAAAATAAAGATGCCACAGTTCAGGGTTGAGGGTTAAGGGTTAGGGGCTTAAGGGCTAAGGGTTTAAAGGTTTACAGGGTTTGAAGGCTTAGGGTTTAAGGGTCTATAGGGCTTTAAGGGTCTAGGGGGGTAGGGTTAATCAAGAATGTAAAATTCCTTAACCGACTGAAGTCTACCTTTTCTTGTATCACGTTACTTTGAACCCTAGTAGGCTCTGGTAGGTTAAGGTAAAACCTCAGAACATATTGCTGAGATACACTGAGGCACTACAAATCAAGGCATATTCCTGGCTTAAGGGGGAGTGGGCCCTCTAGATATCTTTGGTCCCTTGGGAAAGTCCTTTGAAAGTGGGTAGTTGAGTAGTTCGACATTTCCATCGGAATGAGTACCCGAACGCCAAATCACCTTCCTGTTCAAGAGCTTCTTTCAGGCTAAGAAACCATATTAGGGATCCCTAAAAATAGCTAAACTCCTACAGCAAAGCCCCTAAACCCTGACTGATCCCCTACCGGTGGATCCTTAACGGACACTTTGGTTCTTCTCAGGGTCCAGGTACACCAAGCCGCCTCCCTAAACCTTAAACCCTAAACCCTCAACCCCGCCAGGACCCCCCCAATGGCCCCTTAATAGAGCCCTTATGGTCCTTAATAGGGGCTGTTTGGAGCACAATAGAGGGTAGGTGGGTGGTCTACAGTAAACCTCAAAAAGTTGGAAAGGTGATTAAGGACAGCTAGTGCTGAGATTCCCTATACATTACTCTTCAGGATTGAGGCTATTGGGTTTCCAACTTGTGGGCTTCTACTGTAGGTGAATCCTAAACCCCTCTGAAGCTCACTTCGGCGGGCCTTTCACGCCGTGGCCTCCGGCGTCCGGACGGAGAATTCCCGAGGCCTCATTTCTGTGCTCTTGTGGTTACCCCAAGGGTCCATGAACCCAAGAAGTAGATACTTTGGCCCAAGAGTAGTACCTAGATAGGTACTGTACGGTGGGGTGTTGGGGAGTCGGGCGCTTCGGTGGTTTGAACTTTTTATCGGGGGTTCCGAGAAGTTGAGCAGAACATGAACTAGAAGGAAGCTTCAGAGTGCAATCCATCCGCCAAGCTCACCCTTTTCGGCGTGCACTTCTCAGTCTTCAAGAAGAGGATTTGGGATTTGGGCCTTTAAAACTGGTTGAATGGTTGTGAAGGCGTCTGGTTGTTTTGAAAGGGGCTGGGTGGGGTTGGAAACGGGTTTCAATGAGTGTGAAATGGGAATTGAAGAGAAAAAACAATTTTTACTGGTTCTCTGCTCTGTGACACTTTATCACCGATGAAACTCGTCCCCTCGGAGAGGTCACCGACATAGCCGATCCCCCTCCGCCGTGCACGGAGGGGGCTCTGCCATTCGAGAAGGAGGTTTGAGGGCTGGCCAGTCAGAGTCATCTCTCGCAGCTCTTGCGACTGCGAAGCTGCCCACGACATTGCGGCCGTGGAATGTGCTCGCTGGTGGGCACAGCCCAATCTACCCCTTAATTAGGCAAGACACGCTCCAAGTGTAAGGTTCGAGAAGGAGCACGATGTTTTTCTCGAGATCCTGTTCAAACCTTCTTGCCATCCCTCTCCGTCCAGGCTCCCTGGAGGTCGGTTCGCCAGACTTGGCTTCGGCTCTGTGTCTACGGCGACGATCGTCGCCCTTGGCCTTCGAGTGCCACCAGCTGCAGATTCCTGGAATCCGGCACATACTCCACCAGCGGCATGTTCACAGCGTCATTGGCGGGGTGACTACTCTCTGGTGCTTAGCAGGGAATGGGGGAAAGTATGATGGGGACTATTTTAGGCACTTGGTCTGCTGCAACCCTTAAACCCTAAACCCTAAATCCTAAACCGTGACACGGGTTAGCAGCAAAGGGGAAAGGCAGGCGGGGGAAAGGACCTAAACCCTAAGGACCGACTGGTCCGCTATGTTAGAACGGGGATTCTATACCTTAACCTCCCAAAACCTGCTTTTTTGCTGGGGTCCCTATATTCTCCATATTAGGGTTTATAATAAGAACCTACAAAAAAGTAGGGTTTGGTAGTTTAAGGTAGGGGCTACTATGCTGAGCACTAGGGTGACTCGCTCGACCTCGATGGTCCTCTCTGGACGATCTGCCTCGCTCCGATGACCGCGCTGGAGGTCCAGGGTCCAAAGTACCTATACTAGACTTTAAGGGTTTGCGGTTTTGCGTTTATTTAAGGGGTTCATGGAAGTACTTATATAGTAGAATGTACGGTTCTTACCTTGTACTAACTATACTAGATTTTTGGGAAGTATCCCGACATGCCCCCAAACCCTAAACCCACCCTAAACTCTCAACCCTAAGCCCTGTAGATCCCTTGTAGAACCCTTTAAGGAACCCCTTAAACCCTAAACCTCTACGCAAAATCCCCGAAGAAATCCGCCCCTTTGCCCGGAAAACCGAAGAGCCTCGGCCCTTTAAAGGATCCCTTATGGACCACCCATATCTCTACGCAAAAACCCGAAGAACTCCTCCTAAATCCTAAACCCCTATAGATCCCTTATAGAACCCTTTAAGGAACCACGTATGTAAATCCTAATCCTCTACGCAAAAACCCGAAGAACTCCTCCCCTTTCCCGCCTGCCGCGGAGTTTGCCGGTGATGGCATGGAGGAGCCGGACATCGAGTTCTCAAGGGGTAGGGTCTTAAAAGGATGGGTTTTGGGATTTTGGGGGCTTTTTTGGGTCTATAGGGTTTTGTTGTCTGTGGGCTCAGATAAAGCTTAGTAGGGCTTGCAGGGCTTAAAAAGGTCAAAAAGGTCTCAAAAGGATGGGCTTCGGGGGTCTATGGGGCTTAAAATATAGGGCTTCTAGGGTTTATAGTGCAGGGCTTATAGATTTAGGGTTTAAGGTCTATATATAGAGCCTTAATAGGGCTTCTAGGGTATGTCGTGAGAGGAGGGGTTTTAGGGGTTTGGGGTTTTGGGTTTTGGTGAGGGGTTTAGGGTTTGGTGTCTATAGGGCTTTGGGTCTTTGGGGTTTAGGGGTCTATAGGGTTTAGACAGGGGTCTATACAGGTCTGAAAAGGAGGGGTTTAGGCTTCAATAGGGCTTAGGGACAGCGATTTCTTAAAAGGAGGGTTGTGGGGTCTATGCGGCTTAAATCGGGCTTATAGGGTTTAAATGCCTTATAGGGTTTAAGGCTTGTAGGGATTAGAGGCTTTAGTGTTTGCAGGGTTTACGGGGTCCATGTCTGATGTCTTCGGATGTCACGCGGACTCACAGTGTCCTGCAAGCTTTTATGCTGCAGAGTTGTATAGGATAGGATTGTATTCGAGTTTGCTGACGGTCCCTTTTGTCATAGCCGAATGCAAAGGACTTAGGGGTGAAGGTGTTGGGGCGTTGGCAGGGGTTCAGGAAGACTGCTCACTTGTCCTCCTACACAAGGAGCGAATGAAACGAAATCCAGAACGGCAGCTGCAAACGTTAAACTCTGAACCTTATAAACCCTAAACCCCATTAACCTTATAAGACCCACAATCTAAGCCCTTAACCCGACCCTAAGGGTCCAGTATCTCCGTAGGAGGGTCCGGAATCTCCTAGGGAGAGCCCTTGGGTCTCTGTGGGATCTCAGAAATCCTAGATTTTGAGGTTCCATGAAGTGTTAGGACCCTTAGGGTAGACTCTTAACCGGCAACCCTACAAGCCCTAACCTAAACCCTAAACCCTAAACCGCACCACATGAAGCTTGACACAGGGTCTCCGAGCAGATACTTGGACTTTTGGGTGAAAATTTGGCTTGTCTTCGCATTTTAAATACCCTAAAAAGGAGTCCTAAGTGGGTTGCGATGCTCTATTATGTGAGTCTATCAATCCATGAAGCAACTGCATACTAAGTCAGCTGACCCTCCAAATACCGTCTTCGTCAGACATTCCTTGCTTGCTGTTTAGGATTTAAGGTTGAGGGCTTAGGGTTTAGGCTTTAGTTAGATGGGTTCCTGTTCGTTTGTGCTGTTTTGGAATTGGTAAAAACAAGAAATGGAGGCTTCCCCCTGTGAGTACTTATTTTGACGCTTCGCCCTTTTGCTGTTTAATTACTTAGAGGGTTGATGCTACCCGAAGACGTTCAAGACTGACTGTCGGCACCATGGTGATAGAAACCTTAGGCTCCAAAGCCCATACTCAAATCCATCTTAAATCCCAAAGCCCCTAAAGCCAGAACCCTAACCCTGTGCCCCGCAGATAAAGATGTTTAGGCACGTCAAAGCCCGAACCCCTACAGCTCTGGTACGAACGGAGATCGGCCTCATCCCAATCCGCAGAATACCCGACCTCCGAGGACGAAGCACCTCTCGGCTTTCTATACTAGGCTAATCTAAAGGGTTCTATAAGGGATGTAGGGTTCTATAAGATAGGAACTTAATGATTAGAATCGGGCTTTGGGGGGTATGTTATACCTTACCTATATAAGGACAACCCACCCCAAAAAAAACAACACATACATTGGAAAAAAATGAGGCCCCCAAAGTACTTACAACAAGGATGATTCGTGCTAGGAGTCCCTTATTCTGTGCCTTAAGGTTATGTTGACAATTATCCGACTTTCTGGCTCCTTCTACAGCATCCATAATTGACGCAATAAAAACTTGGCCTTACAATTTCCCCATGTTAGGTACTCTGAGGCCAATGTATATATACTACATGGGCACATGGACCCTTGTAGGGGAAGGGAACACTCGTACCATTCATTTTGATGCATGTGCTTCGTATTTTGAAAGGCTTCCACGATTTGGAGGATGATGGGCGCGCACAAGCAAGGTTTTTCAAGACATTTTAAGGGCTTCATAATTTGTAAGTTGTAAGAGTTGTCATAGGAGGTTCGGGGGCTCAGCGTTTGGGGTGTTTGGGGTTTAGGCATTCTGAGCAATGAAGGTTTAGGGATTTACAGAGTGTGAGGGTTCCTTTAATGGACTTAAGGAGTTGGTGTGTTTGCGGTTGCGCGGCCCTGTCATGGAGTAGGGTTTGTTAGGGTTTGGGGGTATCTTGCAGCTGTATGAGCCCCTCCACGCAGCCTAGAAAAGGAACGATAAAGCCAACAAATCTTGACCAAACCTGAAACCTGAACCGCATCAAACCGCAAACCCTAAACTCTAAATATACGAAATACTAAACCCAAACCCAAACAGTCACAAAACCGTAAACCCAACCACCTAGACCCTAAACCCAAAACCTCATAAACTCCAAAGCCCTGCAAAATTCTAAATGCCGTTACGCAAAGGAACCCTTGCATGAAAATACTTTAAACCAGCCCAAAACCCTAAATAAGATAGGGGCCTTAATAATTAGAAGAGGGTTTTGGGGCCACGATGCTATAATTATGTTAAGGATCCCGCAAAAAAAAGTATTGGTAACTATTTAGGGCCCTGTTCAAAAGAACGAAACAAACCTTGCGAACCTCTGGTCATCGATGCGAAGTTGTCGTTCTGATAAGTGCCGGACCTCCCACGAAGCCAGAGATTTGCATTTTTGAGGGCTCCCTTAAGAGTCTATAGGGTTCTTTTTAGGAGTCCCCTAGGGTTTAGGATTTAGGGTTCTTTTTTGTTTTGGGATTTGTCTAGGCTTAGCATATTTTGCGATTCCGTTAAGGGTTCCCTTGAGGCCTCCTATCAGAGAGTGAGGCTCTAGAGATGAATGAGGTTTAGGGTATGGGTCTGGGGCTGACTGATTAGGGTTGAGGGATTTAGGGTTTAGGGTTTAGCGGTTTAGGGTTGAGCCTTGCAGAAACGCTTCTAGGAATCTCAACCCTAAACCCTTAACGGAACCCTCAAAGGGGAACCCGTCAAGGAACCCTAAAGGAACCCCACAGGAACCCTTAAAGCCCAATTCCAAGCGCCAGGCAAAGTGGTGTCATTGTCCAGGGACTGTTGCGACGGGATGGTGGATAAGCCTTCGACAAAGTAGAGTTTAGGGACTAGGGCTAGGGAATATTCCGGGATTATAAACCCTGAACCCAGTTCTCCGGGATTATAAACCCTAAACCAAACCCGAACTAAACGCTAAACCCTCGAAAATAAATCCAACAGTTGCACCCCAAAGTCAAGGCTCCCCAGCTTGTGGCTTAGGCCATCCCTTTGCACGCTTTTGCCAAAACCATGGTATATTATGGCTTCATAGTTTGCTATTATAGTTTATTATGGCTTCGATTTAATGTATTAGATGTTATGTTATAGTCCTTCACTGAGTTAGAGCATCTTATAGTCGGTTTTGGTATACTATAGTAGATTATCATGGTATATCACAGCCATTGTATGTTCTAGTCATAGTAGGTTATAACCCTCAACGCCGAACCCTAAGCCCCAACCTAAAACCTGAACAAGTTTGCAAAGTTTACGGCCCCCAAACTACGGTTGATGATATAAATCCTGCATTACCTTAAGGCCCATAAACTATGGGAATTATGGTATATTCCTTGTTATGGGTAATGCAGGATTTATATCATCAACCGTATCAGCACCCTTCACGATGGAAGATCGAGAGTTTTAAGCCCTGAGCCTACAGCCCCTTGAACTGTGCCTACTTGGAGGGTCGGGGGACTTAGTAAGTAGGGGCTCCTTTAAAGGGGATTACAAGGTTTCCTTTAAAGGACTCTATAGGGGTACTATAGGATTTAGGGTTCAGGGACGTAGTAAGTAGGTAGTAAGTAGACTTATAAGTACCCTAAAAAGGGACCCTAGTTGGGGTTATGGTACTTAAAACTCCGTAAAATAACCAATTACTAAGTCCCCCGCTCCAAGTAGGATGCCCAGTAGTACCCTTATTCCCTTTTTGTAGTCCTAGGTGCCTGATAAAGGTACCCAGTACCAAAAAGGTAGCCTTTTTTACTCCTAGGCTACTGGGCATCCTAGTATGTTGTGGTACCCTTATAGATCCCTTATAGCACCCTTTTCAAAGGACACCTTTAAAGGAACCCTAGTAGTCTTTTTATTCCTAGGTGTACTTACTTGTCCCGTATCCCAGGAGACGGAAGGGTGTGGCCTTTGGGACTATGCTTGGAGGGTCGGGGGACTTACTCTAAGGGGTTCCTTTTGGGTTCCTTTAAAGGGATCTATAGGGATTCTGCAAGGGTTTAGGGTTTAGGGTTTGGGGACTTACTAAGTAGTTATTTTGTAGAGTTATAAGTACCATAACCAGGATTAGGATCCCTTTTAGGGAACTTATAAGTCTACTTACCACCCAGTTACTAAGTCCCCCGACCCTCCAAGTAGGGGGTTCGAGTAATGTAGGAACCGGATTAAGAAACCTTGGGCCTTTATTCGGGTTCTTTATAGGAACCCTACTGTTTTTGGGGGTAATAGGCCAAGGGTTAATTAATCAGCTTCCTACATTATCCCAAATGGCTAAAAAACACACACTCACTCGACTAGTAAGTGTATTCCTGCTCCTGAACGCTACTAAACCTCCAAACCCGAACCTTGGCTAGTTGCTGAGATCGTTGCCCCGGACACAGGAAGAGGTCAATCCTGTTCTCTCGGGTAGGATGGATAAGTGCATCTACGCATGTCCATGAATGCGCTGGTGAGCATGCTCGCTTGGACTCTCTTGAGATCCTTGATGGCACAGCGCGCGCGACGTGCATAGTATCAGTGGTGCAGTTTGATCATGCACTCACTCGCCTCCACCACTAGATGAGTTGCCTCCTGTTTGTCACCTCGAGCATGAGCTGCGGGTCGCACCCTGGGACGTTCTTTAAACCGAAGAGCAGCCCATCCAAGGTGCCACCGCAGACCCGGCGAAGGTTGTCTGGTGAGCGCCAATGGAGCTGACAACGCAGTCGAGATCCACAACCCTGAGGGTCCATGTACCCAAATAGTATATACTTAGGGCCCAAAGTAACAATATAGGGACTACTTTACGGCCAAAGTGTGTACTATTTGGGTACATGGACCCTTAGGGCAACTTTCTTTGAGTGCCGGCATGTATGGCGGCAACGCAGGCCCAAGACGTCCTGCTTGCCGGGCTCGTCGAGAGTCGTGGGCTTGCAAAAACATCTAAGTACATGCACATGTATTGCCTATATTAGGTACTGCCCCCACTCAGTAACAATTGAAGAACCTTTAGAAGCGGTAGTCTTGTTTTAGGCTGTTACTGTTTGCGGGCAGTTCCCAATGTATATAGGTGTGTACGCATTCTGCCCGCATGAAGGCCCCAAGCAGCGAAGGTTCAACAACATATATCACCAGCACCGCGTGTGCCTCAGACCCTTAGAGAAGTGTTGCAAAATCCTCATACAACTTCAGGTCCCAAGTGAAAAAACCCTAAATCATAAACGCTAAGCCCTAGATCGTGTTTAAATTGAAGATCGACCTGTAATATAGGCGCCTCAATTATTAAGATGGGGCTGTGGGGTGTACTATACTGTGACCAGAGTAAAGAGCCCAAGAAAGCGTTTGGTGATTCTTTAAGCCCCTGTTATAGAACTTTCCGGGTCGATGCAACACACTTTGCGGTGCGGCGATCCTCCACGTGGCTGAGTCGACAGGGTCGCCTGTGCTAGGAAGCTTGGGAGGATCTATTATGGGGTCCAGTATAGAGGCTTTGATAACTAGAACAGGGCTTTGGGGCCCATTAAGGAACCCCCAAAATAGTATAGGTAACTATAAGATATAAGGCTTCTCATAAGGTTTCAGACAGAAAACCACACAGATGCCGGAGTTGTTCTTCCTCTACGAGTGCTGGGCAATCAGGATGAGAGTATACCATTTCACGATACTGGCCCCTGCAACAGACTAACTCCGGGTCCTCAAGAGGGAGCCTTGCTCGTGAAAGTTTCCTCGAAAAAGAACAAATACAGAACACAAACAACAAAGAACCCTGTCAACATCGAGCGCTAAACATGCAGAAGCCATACAACCATGCGCAAACTCAACTTCAAATCAACACCAACGCGAGAATGCTAGAACTACCCCGGGTCTATGAGTTTCATCGCACAACAGCCGGGAGCATGCACCTCCTGCGTCGTAGAATTGTCCCCAGCATCAGACGAGAGCCACTTCCTCCTGGACATACACAAAATGGTCCAAGTCTCGAATAATACTTAAACTTCCATGTGCCCAAATAGTGTATTTGGGCCCTAAAGTAGTCCCCATATTGGTACTTTGGGGACTAAGCATATATACTATATTTGGGACCCACAGGGAAGCATATACCCATGGGGGTTTCAGGTCTAGGACTGGTTTAGGGTTAAGGGTCTAGGGGAAAAACTCTCACAGACACTAACCTACATATTTAATTGCTAACCTATGGCCAAGTACCTTCTCAGGTCCGTTGGACCGCTTATAAGGATAGGCCACAGCGGCCTGGCTACGCAAAGCCAGTAGCATGCAGCTAAGCAACGCACATCACATACATCAACTGCGATGCACATCATACAGGAACTTATGCACAGGGGAGGCGTACGGCATGAAAGGCAAAAACAAGCATTCAAAGCCAGTCGCGGAATATGAACGATATGCATAGACATCCAGCAGTCTTGCACCATGTGATTCGCTTTCCCTAAGGCTCCCCTTATCTAAATTAAGTATTAGGTTACACATCCAACATTGTAGCCTCCCTAAACCCGAAACCCTTAACCCTACCCTAAACTAATTCCTAAACCCTACCCAAATCCCTAAACCCTAAACCCTAAACCCTTAACCCTAAACCCTAAACCCGAAGCCCTAACCCCTAAACCCTAAACCCTAAAACCCTACAACCCTAAACGTAGGCACCGGGAGCCCTAGGGCTCGTCTACAGAATGCTTCGGTGACTCACGGGTGCAGCTTACGTGACACCCAAAGGGTCCAAAGTACCTATATGGTAGAATGTACCCTAAACCCTAAACCCTAAACCCTGGTTTCAATATTAGGAATTACAATTATGGTTTCAGGAAGTATTCCCCATAACAGTACCTAGGACCCTTTGGGACAGATAAGAGCCAGTCCCGAAGGGTGCATGTAGCTATTAGGCTTCCTTTTAAAGGGTTATGTACTATAAGGGTACCATAAGGGTACTATAAAGGTTCCTTTAAAGGGCTCCATAAGGGTTTACAGTTTCCGAACATTAGGGGTACCTTATTTTGGGGTCCTTATAATAAGGATCCTACTATTTAGGGTACTATCTTAGATAGCATATACTTTGGCCCTAAAGTACCTAAACAGGGATTGCACTTAAGACTCAAGTATATACTGGGAAGGTACATGGAGCCCTAGGGACAGGGATCGGTGTGATGACTACGTCGGATTCATGATCAGCAACAACAGCATCGAAACGTCCGGCTCACGATGGATCTGATGACGATATCATGGTCTTGATGCTGGTTACAACGACGTTCCTTTAATGGTGAGCGCGCTCCGTTGCAATAGCGATGCTCAAACTAGCAACAAGAAAGCATCGGGACATTCCTGTGGCCGATGACGACAATAAGAATGTCCTTGATGTTAGTATAACGGCATCACCATCACCGACGGGTTTCTGGGACACAGACGTCGTGCCCAACTTAGCAAGAACATGAACGACCACATCTCCAAGCCCCAACACATCGGACGTTAAACACGAATGCTTATAAACCCTACACGAATCATTGCCAGAATCTCTGTGCCTGCTACATGCTGTTACCACACGCCGCGCTTTGCGCCTCTCAGTGGGCTCGGTGTTTTCGTCCATGCCCCAGGACAGAGGGTCACTGCCGGGGACCTGCATGCGCGCAAGCGTCCAGCGCGTTCGTGCAAATGCATTCCCAGCTGATGAAACAACTGACCATTGCCGGACCATTGCCCTAAACCCGAAACCCTAAACAAAATCTCCGCCATCTTCTTGAAGGTTCCGTTTACTCACGAACTCAGCTGCGAGTTGGGAGTCTACCTTGCCGGGACACTCTATACCGAATTGTTATGGGGCCTTAAAAATTAGAAGGAAGGGATTACCTTATCTGAACACTAAACCGATTTCGTGTAGGTGCATCGAAGTGAGCCCCAGCCCGATGGGTAGAAGGGCCCCTGAATACCCTGCATGAAAAATGTCTGTACAACTGTGCTACCAGTTTCCATGATAGGAACACCATTCTGCGCGAGAGAATGTCGGCTGCTAGACTTAAGCCAGCACTATGCTCTGTCTTGATTCCTTACACCCTAAAGCCATGGCTCAAAATAGGCCAGCAGCCTCGTATATTATGGTCTCTCAAGCTTTGCAGTCTGTTGCAGTCTCTGTGGACCGGAACACTGCCCCACCCTAAACCCTAGACCATCTCATGACCCCTCAAGCCCTCATGGTCCTCAATAGTGGGTGTTTAAGCTGCTAGGGCAATCCTAAACCCGGAACCCCTGTTAACCCAAAATCCCTATCAACTAGGTTCCCCGGTAGCCCATTAATAAGGGGTAAAAAGGGGACCCTAAAACAAACGAGGCAAAAAAACACGACTCAGGAACCTAGCAGACCCCAAGCCCCCATAGTTCCCTTATCGAATCACAATAAGGAAACCTGAAAAGGTAGGTTCTTCAGGATCTCCTCAGGAACCTAGTAAACCTAAACCCAACACTCTGAGGACCCGCCTTCGAAGGCGAGCCCAGCCTCAAGACACTTCCTGCTCAAAGAGCCGACAAGGGCCCCTTAAACTGAGGTTTAGGGTTTAGAGTTGAGGGCATAGTGCAGGGTTTATAGATGGGTTCATCGGGCTTTGGGCGTTGAGGGACGTAGGGCTCAGGGCTGAGGGTTTAAGGCTTCGGGGTGAGGGTTTAGGATGGTTTGGGGGTTCAAGGTTTGGGCTTTGCGTTTTGGTGTTGCTACGTTTGGGTGTTTAGTGCTTAGGGATGTTTCCGGTATACATATATATCTCTACTAGTACATCTTTACATCATGTACTGGGGTCGAATCGGGCCCCATCTGAGCTCAGTATAGGGCTTAGGTAGATACGCAGACCTTCCAAAATCCCTTAATTAAGGAATATACCGAAAATCATGGTAGGATCCTTAATATGATTTAAGGTATATTCCTTAGTTATGGGAACATGGAAGGTCTGGGTATAGGTTCCTGGGACCTTGCACATGCATCAGATAGATATTCATAGAATTATTTTGCGGAACCCTAACCCTAAGGCTCAAAATAGCCCAAAAGCCTTATTAGTATGGTCTTTGGGCCCAAGAAGAGCCTTAAAATAAGAGTCCTTAGAGCCTAAGGGTAAACCGTAGACGTGCCAAAGTTATACTACATCGACACATGGCCATGGCTCGCCCCGGAATCCCCCATACGGCACTTGATCCGAACCGTAAACCGCTTGAGGGTTTAGGGTTTAGGGTTTAGGCTAACCCTAAACCCTCAAGCAATAGGGCCCAAACATGCCACGATTAATTGCTGTATGCGATTGGATCCCGGAAATCATGGTCAGCATGGAATTTTGGGGGCTAGTGCCAGAATGGTAGTACACCTGCAAACAGTTAAGATCCTAACCTCCTAAGTTACAAACAGAAACATAAGCTTCAGTCACAAAAACGGCTAGATCTCTTCAAGTTTAATGCGTTTCTGAACCCGCATCAAAGGATCTGTCAAGAGCTGAACCCCAGCAAAGCTCAGGATGTTTGTCGGAAGCGGGAACTTTCAGTTAAACCCGCGCGAAGCTCGAAGCCTTTCGAGCCTACGGCCTAAACCCTAAACCCAAGCCCTTACAAGCCTAAGGCTCCACATAGCCTAAAAAAGATGCCATCTATGGACGTAGGGCTCCCAAAGTAAGTACTACTTATAGACTTTGAGCCAAAGTAGGTACTAGTAATATAATTACCCTAAACCCCCTAAACCCTGAAACCCCAAAACTTAAACCCTAAATACCTGGCGTCTTGGGGGGAATCGCAACTAGGATACCTAGTAACCTAAGAATAAAAAGGCCTCTCTTTTTGGTATTGGGTAACTTTATAAGGAACCTAGGACTACATAAGGGAATAAGGGTACTACTGAGCATCCTAGATGACGATCAGCGTAGGTCAAAGACACGCTCGGGTCTCGGGGCCTGAACAGTTTGCAACGATAGGTGCATGGGATAATTTTACAGGAGTGAATGGCTGGTACCCCTAATTTTCGGAAACTCCCATTTGGGCTCCAGGCAGGCCTTGATCCCATAAAACCTTCCTTTGTAGAGCTCCCTATTATGGTTTCTTATATAAGTATACAAGTCCTTAAAAAGGTACCTTATCATTATGATTTCCTTTTATACGTCCTTACAGAGATAAGTTATCTGGGCTCCAGGCAGGCCTTGATCCGGGCTCATGTCCTCTTGGACGACCGTTGCTGGGCTCCGCGGGTCGCGTTCGCTGTGGGTACCTCGGCAGAATTGAAGCTTAGGGTTTAGAGTTTAACCTTAGGGTGTTCTTTTTGTTTTTTTGGTGGGGGTTTTAGGGCTTAGGGTGTAGACTTTAGGAAGGTATTGAGTTTTATTACGGACTAAGGTATGGGGCTTGTTAGGATCAAGGGTAGTTTTGGGGTTGGTCCATATACTAATGGTCGTCCTCTTTGGGCGGGGATAAGGTAGCACCTCGTCATACTACAAGTGCAGGGCTCGTTAATGTATAACCCTACGGCTCAAAAAAGCCCCAAAGCCCTACATACCATGGTCTTTGGGCCCAAAAGCCTTAAAACACGAGTCCTCAGAGCCTATGAGGGTTATAGATCCCCTTAAAGGAACCCGTATAGAACCCCTATATAGATCCCTTGTCTAATGGTTCTTGGGGCACGATGTGTCAGTCGGTGCTGAGGTACAGTAGGGACTTAGCCGCCCTTGGAACCAGAATAGACACCACGTGCGGATTAATCCTTTTAAGACCCAAAAGGGTCCAAAGTACCTTTATGGTAGAATGTGGGGTTCCTATGTTAGGAATTACTATTATGATTTGGGGGAGTATCTCCCATAACAGTACTTTGGACCCTTTGGGAGATATATTAGAACACAATAAATGCAGAATTCCTAAGAGCAGTAAAGAGGAAATGCCGAACCATTGCATGCTCAGTCTTCTTCCGCTCATCCACTTCCCGTGAAAGTCCAAGTTTTGGCACCACCTTATAAAGGATCTTGGACCCTTGTAGTCCCTGGCCCCCAAAGCCGAAACCCTCCCCCAGAAAGCCCAAGACCCTCTTAGGAGCCTTAGGGCAAATTATAGACTTCCGATTCGGTCTGTGTCGGGGCGAGGTCTCTTTGAACACTTGAGCCCATACCACCAGGGTCCTTAAAGGACCCAAAAATTAGGTACTCGGGTTTAGGACGTTTAGGATAGTAGTTATGTAGGTTAATATTTTTGGGAGAGTATATGATAATTAGCTACTTGGACCAATAGCGATGTAACAACAGGGCTTGCAGTTTACAGTTCAGTGTTCAGGGTCAGGGTGCGTGTTTGGAGACTGGGAATACGCGCAAACCTCAAAGCAGCTGTAATTCAGAGAACGGCTTCTATCATACTTGTCGATGTCCCTCCAATGGGTCCGAACCTTCATACTGTTGATGGACAAAATCCTGCATTACCCACCGTAAGGAATATACCATAGTTCCCATAGTTCAGAGTCCTTAGGGTCATGCAGGATTTCGTCCATCAACAGTATCAGGAGACGACTTGCATACTGTCAGCTGTGCGAAAGAACATGCTGAAAATACCAACTCAGAGGGTCCTATGTGTTCTGCAAGCAAAGTAGCATACGGCAGAGTCGGACGGTGAAAGGACTTCACCAATTTCCGGCCAGTAGAAGCCTTCGGCCCACTGGATCAACCAGGACCGCTGAAGCTCTGTTAGGTCGACGGCCAATTCCACGTGTGGAGCAGCTACAGAAATTCGGTGGGCAACCACAGCAAGGAATGTGTCACTGATACATTTTGCGAATCCCTTTTCCGGCGCTCATCGGATAGCTCTCGGCGATGAAACTCGGTTGATCGTCGCAGCCAGCATCAACTGAAGTTGAGCTCTCTGTTGGTAGATGGCTCATCCCCAAACTGGAGACATAGCTGATGCATTGCGTCAATGCGATTTTCTCGAAATTCTTCCGACATCGTGTTCTACTGTGATGCGGGATACCTTCCCAAATCAACATATGAATTCCCACTATAGAGACCCACATTCTACTACAAAGGTACTTTGGGTCCTTGGGGAACGCCCAAAAGCGCCACGTTGTTACGTTACTACACACACAGACTGTGAACAATCGCCTGCAAGGCGCCCCAACCTCCTGCTAGGTTCCTGAGTAGCCCCCTTAATAAGAAGGGCACCATTTTTGGTGTTAAGAAGGGGACCCCAAAATGAAAAGGGCAAAAGGGTACTACTCAGGAACCTAATAGACCCTAATTCCCCATAGATCCCTTATAGAACCCTTTAAGGATCTTTCGTAATAGAACCCTTTAAGGATCCCTCATAGCACCATTTTTTCTTAAGGAACCCTTAAGAATGGGGTACTACTCAGAAACCTAGCCTGCAAACAAGCCGCTGCATGCTCAGATGGTCAAGACCTACTGCACCTGCTAACCCCAAGGGTCCAAGTCCCTACTAATAAGGATCGATTACTATAGGGGTACTGTAATGAGGGCCCCTCTAAAGGGCTCTATATGATGATTTAAAGTTTCGAAGCAAAAGCACCGTAAGGGTCCAAGTGCCTAGTAACCATATACTCTCCAAAATCCTACTCTGCGTAACTATACTATCCTAAAACCGAATACTTTTGGGGTAACAACCCGTAACCCAAGACCGTACAACTCTGAATACGAAATACTTCCAAACCTAGGGTTTAGGGTTTCGGGTCCCTACCTCAAGGCTCCTGGACCCTTGTAGTGAGATCCCGGACACTAGCCCCCAAAGCCGCAACCCTCCCCCAGAAAGCCCGAAACCCTCTTAGGAGCCTTAGAGTAAACTCTAGTACCCGAAACCCTAAACCCTAGGGACCCTACAGGAACCCTAACTCCCTAAACCCCAAGACCTGCCTGTGCCCAAGCGAACTTTCCCCGTCAGGGGAGACAGCTGGGAGCTCCCTGCAGCGTTCGAAAGGCTTCAACTCCCTAAGGGTCCATGTGCCCTGATACTCTGAAGCAACTCACCCAAAGGGGGGGTCCTTTAAAGGAGGGTCCTTAAGGGTCCCCTAAAGGGATCTTATAAGGGATCTGTAGTTGGGTGATACTGTGGATGGACAGTATCCTGCATGACCCAATATAGGGAATATACCATAATTCCCATAGTTTAGGGTCCTTAAGGTCATGCAGGATTTTGTATTTCCCTAAGGGCCCATGGAGTTTAGGGTTTTTTGTAGACGCATATAGGGATCCTTTAAGGATTCCCTTATATGGGTTACTATAAGGGTTCCTCTAAGGGTTTAGGGTATAAGGGTCCACGTGCCCAGATAGTTTTTGCGATGGCCTTGGTGTAGTCCCTTTCTTGGTACATTGGGCCCAAAGTGTATACTCTTTGGGTACATGGATCCTTATACCCTATATACCCTTATGGTATTTTGGTATTTTTTATAGAGCCTTTAAAGGAACCCTTTTAGGAGCCCTGTTTGGGCACATGGATCCTTAGGGTTTGAGCTTAACGTCAAGGCCTTGGAGCTTCGGGTTATAGGCTTACCCAGACCCCCGGGAGCATCTAGAAAGTAGATCCCCTAATTTGGGGCCCTATACTACCAAGGGTACTTTATGGGAGCCCACATTAAGGGATCTACTTATTGGATCCGCCCGGGGGTCTGGGTATGGGATTTAGGGCTTAAAGTAGGGGTCTAAAGAGCTCCTTTAAAAGGATTCTTTTAGGGTTCTATAGGGATCCTTCTAACCCTAATTAGGGTGTAGGGCTTAGGGGTACAGGAAACCCCATAAAGTTGGAAACCGGATTAAGGCCAAGTAGTGCCGGGATTCCCTGTACATTACTCTTAAGGATGGAGGCTATGGGGTTTCCAACTTTTGGGCTTCTACTGTATGGGATTTAGGGTTTTGGGTCCAGGGCCTAGGGTTGTGGGATTTAGGGCCTGCGGGAATTGGGCATGTAGGCTTCAGGTTAGGGGGTCAGGGTGCAGGGTTATGGGATTTAGGGCTTACCTTACCCCCTGAAAAACCAACCTTTGTATTATTCCTTTCTGGGTCTAAAGTACACAGCAAGATGTAAAACGTTACCCAACTATGACAAAGTATATATACATATGTATATATATATATATATATATATATATGTGTATATACATATGTATATGTATGTGTATATATACACATACATACCTGCCCAAACCCTGAAGCCCGAACCTTTGTAGGGTTCCGTACTATGATTTCATTATGTAAGTCCTTAGATTCATGTATTTGGGTTAAGGTAAAACCCAAAAATCTACATCTTACACACTGAGGCCCCGAAACCCAACCTCTGCGGCTAAACCTACGACCCTCCAGGCCCCTTGATAAGGGTTTAGGGTTTAGGGTTTAGGGTTTAGGGTTTAGGGTTTAGGGTTTAGGGTTTAGGGTTTAGGGTTTAGGGTTTAGGGTTTAGGGTTTAGGGTCTCTTGTAGAAGCATGATTAAGAAATCCTGGTCCTGCAACACCAATTATTAAGACCCATATGGGTAGTTGTCAAAATTATGATCCCTTGTTGGGGACCCTAGATATCAGGTGCCGTGCTATGTTAGGGGCCCAAAAAGGGACCATAATTATGACAACCACCCGATATACCCCAATCAATGAACAAGTTTTCCGAATCAAGTTCCTATGTCTCCCTTAACCCTAGACTTACCTTTGGTGAGTTGGGAATGGAGGGGGGCCTTATAAAGGGGTCTGTAAGGGTTACTATAAGGGATCTGTAAGGGTACTATAATATAGGGGGCTTAATAATCCTATAACTTACCTTGGGATACCATTATAGCTACTATTACTACCATTCTTCCATTCGCTACCAAAGGTAAGTGGACTGCACATAGACCAAAGTAGATCCCGATCTGTGGCTGTAGACCCCAAGGTAAGTACCATCCGCTGGTGTGGCAACTTGTCACAAAACTGGGTAAGCACTTAAGCCCCTAATCCGTTCCAACATAAAACCTAAATCCTTACAAACTTCAGCCTCAAACCTCACCCCCCCAACAAAACAAAAATAACATAATAATAATAATAATGATAATAATAATAATGATAATAATAATACAAATAATAATAATACTAATACAAATAATAAACGACGACCTACACCCTTCACCCTAAATGCTGGAACCCTGATCGGCGCGCCTGGACTCTCGAAATTCTCTGTGGTAGGACTTGGTGCATCACCTATTCCCAGAGGCTCCATATATACGACTATTATGGAATTAGTCCCCGAAAGCCATAAGTAGAATGGTCTTCTGGCGCCTAATTCCATAATGGTAGTATATATGGAGCCTCTAAGATTGGAATGGACCCGCATGGATGGAGAAGCAATTGTAACTGGAGACCTATTTGGAACAGGGCTTTGGGTATGTTTTGCGATACTTGCCCTGGTGTTCCACGTACCTGATAGTCATATACTCTCGCAAATCCCAACCTACACACCTACTATCCTGAACCCAAATGTGGATTTTTGAGGTGATATGCAGAAACCCCAACCCTAACCAAACGCCCGAAAGTAGGTACCATTTAAAACGCTAGAGGCCGAAGTAGGTACTGTCTCTATACTTGGTGTCTCAGGGTAAGGAACAATGCAGGTAATCACTCGGGCTAGTCGGGACGGGTTTCGGTTTCCGACCTGGTTCTGTGTATTTTCAAGCACTCACCTGGCCTCAAAATGCCCACACAAGCAATTAATTCAGCAATACCCCCCTTAAAACAGATCAGGGATCGTACTGTGGTTTCAGGTGTATTCCTAAACAGGCTATATTATGAACATCTCGGCATAGGCGGACCATGTCTGACTACGGTTGATGATATGAGTAAGGCATTACCCATAGTAAGGAATATGCAGAATTCCCATAATCTAGGGTCATTAAGGTCATGCAGGATTCATATCATCAACCGTAGTTTTCCTCGACCTGCCCCACAACACCCTAGACACCTATAGTCCCTAAACCTTATAAGCGCTTTGTAAATTACACCCTTCCTTAACCCTGAAGAACCTACCCTCTTAGGGTTCCTAATTATGATGTCCTTATATAAGTCCTTAAAACGGTAGGTTCGTCAGGGTTAAGGTAAGCCCTAACTCCCAGAGAAGGAAAACTCACTTTCTGAAACCCCACACCATGCGGGTCTAGGAATGCTACTGTGAATGGACAATATCCTGCATGACCCAATATAAGGAATATACCATAATTCCCATAGTGCAGGGTCCTTAAGGTCATGCAGGATTTTGTCCATCAGCAGTACGAAGATGGTACTCGAAATTCTGGCCTTCCGTGCTGGGAGCGTCTGCAGCTGTGTTGGGGCTACCTGCCGTGCTGGATGCGGAAGGGGAATCCTGAGAAAACCGAGACTGGGTTTACTGGGTTGTCTCTGTCAGGCTTAAGACAAAGCATTCCTGAAAACCAGCCAGCACACCCTCCGAAATCCCTTCTCAGATTCTCGAGTCTTAAAGTCGACTTGTGAATTGGTAGAACAATCGGAACGCGCCGTGAATGCCAAGCTATGCAGGCGTAGAGCAGGTGTAGTTGCTTGGAGGCCCTGCAAGTATGACTACGACGACGACGACTACCACCACGACAATTACTTCAAGTCAGCCTTGGTTGAAGGACATCAGTCTGCAAGCTGCCGTCCCATCGTGATAGATGGGGCCTCTGGTTTAGGGTGGATCCCTGCTGCCCTTAAGCCCTATGTACACTCTAAGCCCTACTTACCCTATAAACCCGGAAAGCAGCGGCCTAGTGCACGCCCAGGAAGCTCCGCCACAGAGCTCGGGTCACCTGAGACGAGCGCTTATGAGTTCTTACAGGATACTGCAAGGCTTTATATAGCCCTAAGGGTCCAAGTACCTCATTATCATATTCTCTTCAAACTGGAATCCTACATAACTACTATCCTAAACCCGAGTACCTTAGGTTAGGGTTTGATACAGTGCTACATTGTCTTAACGGGTTCTACGGGTTGGCAGGCGCCCACAGCACTTCAACCCAGGATTTGAAGTTTTTTTTGTGTTTCGGGCTTTGGGGTCTTAGAGATTAGCTTGCCCCAAGGGTCAAAGTATTGAATTATCATATACTCTCCAAAATAGCAAGCTACATAACTACTATCCTAAACCCAAGTACCTTATTGTTGAATCCTTTGGACCCTTAAGGTTAGTGCACTTCAATCTTTCCGTACAGCCTCACTCCTGCAACCCTTTCGCGCAATAGCCCAGGCACCACTGGGTTTGGGGATTAATGTGTAGGACCATTGTGATTGCCTATACTATTTTGGGGTTCCTTATTGTAAGTATAGTATTATAATGGGCCCCAAAAGCCTATTCAAATTAATAATTAAAGCCACTGTATTAGGAGCCTCGACTGGCATCAAATTGACGTTGTTGTGGTAGCTTCCAACGGAGAGAGCGGAAGTGAACGGTGTAGGATTTGAGGGTTCCGTGAACGGGGTTTCTATACGGGTTTGGGTGACTGTACCCTGCACCCAAACCCGCTATTGTAAGGGTTTCCATTCAACCCCAACATGTCTGCGCACTTGGTTGACAGTCTGGTTTCGGATTCGCTGCTGCTGTTATTCGGGCTTGTTTTGTTACAAGCCCAACAGTATCAAGTATTGTAAGTATGTATAGAGGTGTAGGACCAATTTTAGGAGTTGTTTGAGCATTTATGTATCTTGCCTTCTGTTGTCTGAGGTTTGTGCGGGTCTTTCTAAAACGTTTGCCTTGTTTGGGGGTGTATTCTGGTATACGAGGTGTAGGGGTTCGGATTTCAGTGTGGCTTTTAAAGGTTTTAGGGCTGAGAGCTTCAGGATTGATGGTTTCCGTGACAATGCTGCAAATTGAGAGCTCTTGGAGTTTCAACCACTTGTCGGGTACCATGGGAATCTAAATTAAAGGTTAACCTTTTTGTTTATATAGGGATTATACAGGGGCTATGCTACCCAAAGAAAGGTTAAAGGTTACCTACTCTCTCAGTTACTAAGGCCCCTACATTAGAATCCTCATAATAGCCCTTATTGTAGCCCTTATAGACCCCTTTAAAAGGAACCCTTAAAGGTTACCTTCAAAGGTTCGATCGGATTCCTGCGCTGCTTTGCGCATCTATGGATCTATGGAGCAGCTGCACATTCATTGGCACAGCCAACCTTGCGTTTTGCAATTCACCTTTCCGATGCCGTCGCCCCCCGGGATTTCAACGACATTTCACGCTGTTGGAACGTCTGCTACTCGTCCCCCGGCTGCTCGGAGAGCACACAGCAAACACGGGTTCGGCGAAGGTGTCCGCGAGAAATTTGTTTGTTCGCGCGGCCTGCAGCGCTGAAGGTGCGAGCCAGGCAGGCCAGCAGAGGGCTTCGTGTTCTGCTTGGACAAGTCGGTTCTGTTTTGGAGGAGACCATTACCCTGGCCTTGCCCCGGCACCTACATCGCTACGCAGTAGGCAGACGCAAGCGGTGCCGCCAGGTAATTGCCTTTGAGCCCTTGAACCACCTTGCCCGGTTCTGGCTCAGTTGGCTTTGGGATTGGGGATTCGTTCTGGCTCGGTTCGAGTTCGATCGGCTCTGGGATTGGGGCTGACACTGCCTCTGCAAGCTGGCTTGGGGGCTACAAAGCTGCATCCTCTTTCGTTGACCGCTGCTTTGACTAGCCTTCGATGGTAGACGGGCGGAGAGAACCTGCCCAAATCGTCCAAGCCGGTTCTTTCGGCCCGCGTCTTCGTGACGACTCGTTGCATCATGGACTTGGCAAGCAAGGTGGTACTCTGGTGGAGTAGCCAAATGTCAGCACACGAATCCAAGAAGATGAGGCCTAAACCCCAAACTCCAAGCCCAAAAAAAATCAAAGAGCCCTAAACCCTCCAAACCCTAAACCTCACAAGATTCTCAAAGCCCTAATATAGTACCCTAAATAATAGGATCCTGATTATAAGGACCCCAAAACAAGGTAACCTCTATGAACTTTTGTCGCTCTGAGCGCCGATGCTGATGTCTGTAGAGGAAGGTTCCGCCAAGCTTCCAGAAGGCATTTCGGAACTTCCCTCCTGGTACGCACTTGGTAAGTATGGTTCCTTTAAAGGCTCCTTAAAGTGATCTTTAGGGTTCCTTAAAGGATCTATAGGGTTTAGGGTCTACTTGGAGGATCATGGGGCTTAGTAAGTATGGTTACCTCCTGGTGCCCAGAGACTCCAACATCCCTTAATTTTGGGAATATACCTTAAATTAAAGTAGGATCCCTAATATGATTTAATAGGAATATTCCTTAATATGCGGGCGCAGGTGATGGGAGGCCAAAAGGCGGGTTTAAGATTCTTGAGGTAGGGATTCCTTATTATGAACCCTATTATGGGAACCCTAATCCCTTCAAAACCCCCAGAGGCTAAAACCCCTTTTGGCCTCCTATGAGGGTTGCCAGAAGGGGTTCGAAACAAAGGCTCCTCAAAGTTATAATTGGAGTTATAAGCAGGGTAACGATAATTATAACCCATATTAGGTTGCTTATATTCGAAACAAACCCCAAGCGTCTAAGTTCTCAATATAGTTGGACTTTTGGGCGTTTGAAAGTACCAAAAATCATAAATAAGGACTGCATGGACCCTTAGGTAAAGGCTCCCCAAAAAGGGCTTCCTCGTGAAGGGGCTTCGAAGGGAAGGTTTAGAGCTCAGGGTTCAGGGGCTCCTTTAACCGGGCCACTGTAAAAGTCAATAATTCTCTCACGGCTTCAGTATATATAAGGGTATAAGGGTTCACTACAGGGGCCTCGCTAGCTACAATAGGGTTTGTGTGTGTGTGTGCGTATTTGTATATACGTATGTGTATGTATATATATATATATATATATATATACAATGCATAATATTTGTATATACATATACACATTCAGGAATCCTAAAATGTGAGGTGATAGGCTCCTCTATTGATATCCTGCACACACTCCGAGAAAGGGTTTGAAGGAAGCTCTGAACTAAGGGACGGTTTAACGCAAAGGCTTAACATAGGGGCCTTAAAAATTAGAATAGGGTTTTGGGGCCCATTCTATTCTACTATAGTTTTCACAATGTTCGCTGAAAGTGGCTGTACGGTTTAGGGTATTTACAAGGCTAAGGAACCGTATATCCAGAGACCCAACCTAATTCCCAAACCCCACAAAAAAAGTAGGGTATGACCCCTTAATTAGACGGTATAACCCTTAAAACAGTAGGTGTTTGGATGCCCAGGTATGGCGAGCCAAACTGCACAGAGTTTCCAGTTTAGGGCTTACTTGATTACTTGAACTGCAGAATGCCAGGGACCTTTCTTGAGCCCAGATCTTCATTTTAGGCTTTAGGGGGTTTGGGTCTTAGGGCTTCCTCAGAGTCTTTAGCAGTTAAAGATAGCACAGTGCACGCAAGAACGGATGTGAATTCACCAGGGGTCTGCCCTAAACCCTAAACCCTAAACCCTAAACCCCAAACCCTAAACCCTAAACCCCAAACCCTAAACCCTAAACCCTAAACCCCAAACCCTAAACCCCAAACCCTAAACCCTAAACCCCAAACCCGAAACCCTAAACCCTAAACCCCAAACCCTAAACCCTAAACCCTAAACCCTAAACCGTGGCTGTCTGCACCGGATTCCCCTGGAGTTTCCAGCCTCAAACCGCCAGGGCACGAGGGTTTACCCCAAACCCTAAACTCTAATCCCTAAACCCTAATCCCTAAACCCTAATTACTAAACCCTAAACCCCAAACCCTAAACCCTAAACCATAAAAAACCATACCTTAACCCTGAAGAACCTACCTTTTTAGAGTTCCTTATTATGATTTCCTTATACAAGTCCTTTGAAAGGTAGGTTCTTTTGGGTCAAAGTAAACCTTAAGGATTGCAGCTTCAGCCCACACCCTGGACCCCTAGACCCCAAGCCCCGAAACCCCAGACCCCTAAATTCCACACCCCAAACCCTGGAAAGTCACTTTTTCAGGAACCCTTGAAGAAACTCTTAAAGAAGCTCTTACGGGAACTCTTCGCCCTGTGGAGGACCCTTAAAGGAACCCCGTGACGGAACCTTGAGGGGTACCTTTAGCAGGAACCCATACAAGGGCCCGTAAGAGAACACGGTTCCTTTTAAGGGCCCGTTTAAGGCTTCCCTAAGGGCTACGGGTTTAGGATTTAAGGTTTCGCGTTGAAGGGTGTAGGGTTTTGGGGGTTTTGGGCGACAATACCCTGTTTTAAGTCAGGGGCTCTGCATGAAGCAACTCCTCCCCCCAAAGCTCCTATGTACTTTCATGGGGGATACTTCCCTGAGTCTTAATAGTAATTCCTAACATGGAAACCCTACATTTCCCAGAGGCTCCATATATACTACAATTATGGAATTAAGCCCCCAAAGCCATACTGAGGATGTTGTTTTGAAGCCTAAGTCCATCATGGTAGTATACATGGAGCCTCTAGGTTCTACTATATCGGTACATAGGACCCTTTCAGTCCTTGCTGCGATCCAGTAATGCAGGGCTGGAACCCAGTCGGATGAGGTCGCCCGGCACCAAAAGGGACTGACCAAGGACACGGCTTTGTGGTCTAGGTAAAGCTGTTACGGGTTTGGAGTTCGGGATAAGCTGTTACGGTTAGGAGGTTAGGAGTTGGGGCTTCATTGTGTAGGGCTGTAGTGGGGCCAGAGCAACTTTAATTCGGGTTTGTGGTTAAGGGGTTTAGGGTCACGGGGTCTGGCTTGTAACATTTACGGCTTAGGTATTTGGGTGGCTGTCAAAATTATGGTCCCTTTGTGGGTCCCTAATATAGTACGGCACCTAATATTTAGGATGCCCAAAAAGGAACCATAATTTTGACAACCACCCATTTGGCTGATTTTCAACGGCGCATCTGGAGAGTCGCCTTGGACGCCGCGGAAGCGTTACATTTTCTTTCTTCAGGAACCCCTGTCCAAATATGATTGAGCTCTTATAGGGCTACGAGAACTTGGATATCCTTAAGACTCCATATACCCATATAGTAGGTACTTAGGCCTTACACGGGTCCCTTTTTGGGCACTTCAAGGTCTAAGTACCTACTATATGGGTACATGGAGACTTTGGGTATGAGCTTTACAAGACTTGTGAACCTTAAAACTCGTAGGGGCGCTCATGTAGCGATTGTTTCGGTGTGTTGCCTTTTAAATTAACACGGTTTAGAGTTTAGGGTTTAGGGTTTAGGGTTTGGAGGAGGGGCGGAATAAGTTTTGGGATTTGCAAGCCTGCGGCTTCGCAGCTTCGGCGTGCACAAGGGGCTTTGCGCGTTTGGGCCCAGGGCCTAAGGACAACCTCGGGTCGGGACTTTGAGGAAACCCTAAACCCTAAACCGACGTTTTGGGGTTAGGTTTACCCTAAGGGTCCAAGTACCCAATATGCTATACCAAAAAACCAAAATAAAGACTACTTGCACATTTAGGACTGATTAGGGTTTTAATGGGTTTAGATTACCAGAAACATAGTATAGTCTTTGGGCCCAAAAACCTTAAAATGTAAGTCCTTAGAGCCTAAGGGTTAGGGTTTAGGGAGGGCTGGGACACTCGTGAACTTCGAAGCCTTCCTTGCAGACTCTGTTGGCTTGGCGGGTAAGGCATTAGGGGAGAGGGTGACTTTAGGGTTTGGGGTTTAGGGCTCTTAACACAGTTCTGGTGATGATTCGACGGGTTAAAGGCGATTCACCGTAGGTGTATATCCCTATGGCTGACTTCTGAACCCTTCCAGAAAGTTCAACTTTTAGCCAACTTATGACAGTTCATATAGAAACCCTCGAAGTTAAAGTCCTAGGAGCCAACCAGGGGAACGCCAGGCTACGATGTCAACAGATCATCAAAATCAGGATTAAAAAGAAAGAGCTCAAAACTACACCAACCCCAAACCCTAAACGCAGGTTTCCAGAACTGTGCAAGCTCTAGCCTTCAGGCTCCACGACCTAACATTTATGCAAAAAAGGACTACTTTAAGGCCCAAGTGTATGACATGTGAGCATTAGCGTACGGGCCCTTAACACTGAGGAGCTTGAGGTGGACTCGTATAACTAATACCCAAGGGCTCCAAAATGCATGCTTTTGCAGTTTGTAGGGTTTCTGTATTCGGAGATGACACTGTAATTTGGGAAGTATCCCCATATCAATACCTAGGACCGTCTGGGGGTACAGTTTCGGGCACCCCAAAATCAATTCAGAGTATGGAATGCGGACCTCGAGACCGTCGAGACCTACTGTTTGGGTACTTGGACCCTTTGGGAAAATAGTCCCGAAAATAATGCCCTTGAAGAAGGGGGATCGATGGGTGCGGCGGCACCTTCAAACCCAGAGAGCCCAATGCCCCAATACCCCGTCAATCACGGAATCTACCGTAAATTGGTTCAGTGTTTAGGGTTCAGGGTTTTGGGTTTAGGGGATCAAGATCATGACATTAAGGCCCCTATAGTTCGAGGTATATTCCAGACTTAAGGGGTCAGAGACACTGTCCAAAGATCCCGTTTTCCATCGCGGTCGGCGCAAGGATCGTTCGCGAAACTTCGCCCCAGGGCTCCAGTTACCTAAATAGTCGGTTACTAACCATATATTATCTACTATTTGCTTAAGAACCCCCAAAAAATGAAAAATATACTCCTTATGGGGGTAATGTAGGGATTATTATTTTTATTTTTTGAAGGGTTTCTTAAGCAAATAGTAGTTATAGACCCAAGCAACGTACTATCTAGGTAACTGGAGCCCAAGGGTCCCAGATTGGAAGCAGAGACATGATGCAACAAGGCTCGATCTCTCGAACTTTCTCTCTAGAACTAAAAGTAACCCAGGCATAAAAAGGATGCCCTTTTTGGTTTAAAGGGGCTTATAAGGGAACCTGAACCTCTTAAAACGGGAATAAGGGCCTACTCTAGGTCCTAGCACTCGTAAGGTTTTAAGGCTTGAAATCATACGCCTTACGCTGTACCGTAAGATCACGAGCTTTCTTTCGAAGGTTTGGGGTTAGCCTTCTAAATACCCGAAACCGTGAAGCCACGTTCAGCGAACATTGTGTTGAGAGAGTAGCATCTTGCATCAGGCTCCACTCACAAACTCAGCAGATTCTGTGCCTCAACCCTACATCCGGAGATCTTCAAGACTTAGGGTTTAGGGTTTAGGGGTTTAGGGGTTTAGGGGTTTAGGGTTTAGGGTTTAGGGGTTTAGGGTTTAGGGTGCATCATACTAACCGAAAGGGTCCTATGTACCGCTATAGTAGAATGTAGGGTTCCCATGTTAGGAATTACTATTATGGCTTAGGGAAGTATCCCCCATAACAGTACATATGAGCCTTTTGGTAACACCTCGTAAGCCAAAACCCATCAGCCCGAAACCCCAAACCCTGAACCAAACGTGTAGACGCTAAAACTTATCTCGTATGCCGTACATCGTATCACCCCCCCTCAACTAAGAAGTCATATCCCTGAGTTTTACTTCCCTACCCCAAACTTTCAAAAGCCCGCAGCCAGCCTCGGCCCCGTAACTTTCAGTTTGGGATTTACGGTTTGGGGTTTAGGGTTTGGATTGTTGGATGTGGCATTCAGAGTTTAGGGGCTTAAGGGGGTTTAGGGTTTGGGTTTTATATACAGAAATGGGCTTCAAATGTGCAGCCTTACTATGCCACCATAGTCTCCTAACCAATTCGAAACAGAATACAATTCAAGGCCCAGCTACTGTAAATTCGAATCCTATCAGCCCCGACTGAACTCCACACCTGGAGCTCACAAAGCCGGCAGTCTAAACACAGGCTCTATCGCTGAAGCCCGATAGCAAACAAACAACAAAAAAACGTGTGAATCCATATGCAACCCGGTAAATCTTTGTGAACCCCTGTAGCACCTGATAAACCATCATAGACCCTTTAACATCTGCAGGCGGCGACTCAAAACTTCTAAGCTCTGGATCTACGCAGATTTGGTCTATCTGTAAACACTCATACTGAACCGTACACACATCAGATTGGACAGTCTGCTGCGGGTCTTGTACTACAGTTTCCAAAGGAGCGGAGCCACAGGTGGTTAGGCGAATACAACATACTATAAAACATTGGAAACCTATAGAAACTTCCAAAGCCTATCCTGAGGCCTATCACTTACCAGAAACGGATCTACAGATGATTGGGCAAGGCTCCCAGCCACTGTGGCGGGGGCGATCGCCTCCTCTGACGCTTCCGCTCTTCCGAGGAAGCGGACGCCTGCAAGGTGGACACAAACACGCATGAGAGTTTAGGGTTTATATAGGGTGTTATAGGGAACTGCGCCTAGAAGCTGGGTTGGACTCATAAAAAGCGCGCTTGGGTGGGATAGCTGCCGAGCTATAGCTAGGCTACCGAAGGCTAGGTTCGTTGTACTACACCAGGGGTCCATGTACCCATGTAGTATAACTCCGGCCGTAAAGTATTACCTAAGTATATATATATATATATATAGGGGTACTTTTTAAAGCCAAAATCTATACCATCTGGGCATCTTCACCAGCTCCAAGCTCATTCCCTTGGGCCCTTGGGACTCTCCAAGAACGCCCTGGTTTTGAATGGGTTGCGAAGATTGTAATTTGTGTTTAGAGTTGCAGACGTATGAGGTCTCTGAGGCGAATAAGAAGGCCTAACGGCAGGGTCTGCATGACGAGGGTCCTACTGCCTGATCCTGTTTAGGGGCCTTAGTACTTCGAACATGGTTGTGTGGAATATGGACGCATTATCATATTAATGAGCATTCCTACGGAATATCGCTGCGAAGCAGTTGTCAGTCTCGCCCCGGAATGGCCTTGAAACGATCATGGGTCCGAAACACTGATTTTACCAGGAAAGCATAACAGGGAACGCTAAAAAGGAACCCTAAGGGTCCAAGTATATAATAATCATATACTCTCTTAAATATTGAGCTACATAACTACTATCCTAAACCCAAGTACCTGATTACTGGGTCCTTTGGACCCTTAGGGGAAGGTTCTATTAGAATCCCAATGCCATGTCTGGGGATCAGTGTTGCAAAGCAAGTAGCCTTTAGGGGTCGGAGAAGCTTTTGGTTCAGGACTTAGGGTTTAGGGGTCTAGGCCTTCGGGTTTAGGGTTTTCGGGTTCTGGGTTTAGCAGTTTTTACATAGGTTTATAGCAGTAGGAGTAATTACCCGGCCTTTGGGGATGTCTTACTTATCAAGCCTCATACACCTGCTTACAACCCACTGCCTCCCATCAAGTACTACTGTTGATGGTATTAAATCCTGCATTACCGTAAGGACCCCAAACTATGAAAAAAAAGAAGGTATATTCCTTATTATGGGTCATGCAGGATATTGTCCATCAACAGTAGCTCCTATTGTAAACACGAGTTCAGGTCTTCCACAAGTCTCATGGGGAACTAAAGGCTAACCTTTTTGGATATATAGTAGAAGCCAGAAAGTTGGAACATCACTATCCCCATGCCCTTAAGCTAAAGCATAAGGCATCCTAGCACTAATCATCCTAAATCCATGTTCCAACTTTCTGGCTTTTACTGTATAGGGATTATAGAGGGACTATACTACCCAAAAAAGGTTAGAGGTTACCTAGTCTACTGCTAGGTGGTGTGTACGGATGTTTAGGAGATTAGGATTCAAGGGTTTAGGGGTTTAGCGCTTGGGGGCTCAAGGAGTGACAAGTTTAGGGTCCTGGGTTTATCGTTCAAGGGTTTAGGGGGTTAGGTTTAGCTAGGGTTCAGGGTTCAAGGGTGAGGTTTTGAAGGGTGAGAGCAGCTTGCAGCAGCTCCTACTGTGTGGTACATCCTCGCCCGCTACGATGTTGGCTTTGCTACAACCCCTAAACCCTAATTTCCAAAACCCTAAACCCCTAAACCCTAAGCTCCCCCGCCTTCTCACGACCATGGTCTTGCAACAGGCGAGCCACTCTGCGATGATCTTCTTCCTCGCATCGTTTCTTCACCCTATGCCCTAAAGCCCTGCAGCCTGAACTCGGTTAAGGTTTGGGGTTTAGGGCTTACGGCAGCTGCTGCAGATGGAGAAGAATATCAGGAATACGGCAACCTATTATCACCGGATGTGCAAAACCTGATTAGAAGCCCATTACAGGTGGGTAGCTCCTCTTCCATAGTACTCCCATAAGACCCCTTTACCTTATAGGAGTGGTATGGAAGGCTTATGGGAGACTACCCACCTTAAAACTACCTACCTGTAAATGGCTTAGACTGATATTGAAAGCGAGCAACACCACCATGGACAGGTACAAGAACAAATACAACGAAAGATCATAAGCCCTAGTAGCCCCAAACCCTTGATTAACAGGCTATGTACAAGCTCCTATGTGCTAAACCCTATAAACCCAAAACCATTAGTTCTCGAAAATGGGGGACCCTAACACAGCACCCTAAATAGCAGGATCCTTATTATACAGACCCTAAAATAAGGGACCCCGAATTTTCGAAAACTCCCAGGTCAGGTGCATGCATCCGCAGCCGCAGCTCGACCCTGAACCCTTAGGGTTTAGGGTTTAGGGGTTTAGGGTTTAGGGTTTAGGGGTTTAGGGGTTTAGGGTTTAGGGTTTAGGGTTTAGGGTTTAGGGTTTAGGGCCCTAAATGCCCGAATTGATCTCTCTCGAAGGAAAGCTCCAGGAAACTTACTTGGAGGGGCGGGGGGGGACTTAGTAAGTCGTTTATAGGTATAGGGTTATAATTGGGGTAACTTCATTTGGGGTACTTATAACTCTACTTATAACCTACTTCCTAAGTCCCCTGCCCCTCCAAGTAGAGGATGTGACCAAGCATCGGAAGCTACCGCCAAAGGCGTTCTGCCTTTCAGGTCGGGCTTGTCTGGGTCTGCGCCAGAGTCCAAGAGCAAGCGGCACATTTCCAGGCACCCACTCGCTGAGGCAGCGAATCTCGGATATAGGCTCAGGGTTCCTTTAAGGGTTCAGGGTTAAAGGTTTAGGGCTCAGGACTTCCGAGTTTAGAAAGGTCTGGGGAGGAGACCTGACCCGCAGCATGCAGTTGCTCTCGGAAAGCGGAGGTGCTAAGCATTGCGTGCTCTGCAGCTGCTAGCCTCATTCATATCATATCTAGACTTGAGTATATCTATATGTATATATACATATGCACGCACATACACATATTTTCTATATGTATGCATATGTACATGTATATGTATATCTATATGTATATGAATATGCATATGTATAGTACATGTATAAGAATATCTGCAAGTGTATATGTATATATGTATAAGTGTATATTTATAATTGTATATGTATATGTATATGTATATGTGTTCTGCATGTAGTTATGTCTCTATGTCTCTATTTCTCTATGTATGTATGTCTGTATGGCGAACATCTGTATGTGCATCTACGTATGCACAGATACTTAAACACGTAACAAGCAACACTTTGCAGATCCTAGGTCTTCATGTAGGTAGTTGTCAAAATTAGGGTCCCGCTTTGGGTCCCTATTAAAGTACGGCACCTACTATTTAGGGTACCCACAAATGGATCCTAATTTTGACAACCACCCATGTAGCAGCCAAGACACAGAGGGCTTTGCTTGGCATTGCTGGCCTTGTTGATGTCTGCCTTGAACTGCCTGGGCTTTTAAGTAACCAGGTAAAAAAGGTATAAACTTTGATTTCATAATGGTTCCTTAAAGAAAAAGTATAAACTTTTATTTCATAATGGTTCCTTAAAGAAAAAAGTATTAAAGTATGGTACTCCAAAGCCCAGCTGCAGCAACATCTGTGCCATCTGCACATGGCCGGCTTCGGCCGCAAGGATTAGAGGCGTAAGACCATCTTTGTCGCCTGACTTGTCCAAGTTTCTGTGGGAAGCAGCTTAACAGAGTGGCCTTTAGGAGTACATCGCAGTTCTGGTGCTACCAGAGAAAAGGTTGAAGGTCAATGCATTCCGCTGCCAAGTCACCCTTGTCAGTGTCCGCATTCGAGAGCAGCAGAAGATGCGAAACACATCGGTGATCGCGCATCGATGACACAATAAGAGGCGTCTGGCCAGCCCGGTTGGGCACGTCTGCTCTTGCCCTGCTGGCCAGCAAGAGGCGCACTATGTCCATGTTGTTCCACTTACAGGCAATGATCAGGGGCGTGTCTCCAGCAAGATCAGCTTTCTCTCGGTCGGCACCTGCATGAAGCAGCATGCCTGCAACATCATCCTGGCCTTGCCTAGGATGCCCAGCAACCTAGGAATCAAAAGGGCTCCCTTTTAGTATTGGGTAACTTAATAAGGAACCCAGGACTACAAAAAGGGAATAAGGGTACTACTGGACATCCTAGCTGCATGCAAGCGCGGAAGAGTGGTGTCTGTCCTTCCACGTTGGTGTTGTCCTTTGCAGCAGTCGCCTTCAGCAGCAGAGAAACGACCTCAGCTTGTCCCTCGGCAGCTGCCAAGGCCAGGGCAGTGTTTCCATTTTTATCCGTCCGATCTTTGTCTGCTTTCGCCTTGAGCAGCAGTCTCGCAACATCCAGAAATCCACGAGAGGCAGCGATGTGCAGACCTATACTGAACTTAGAACCCTAGCTACAATTATGATTTTAGCTGTTTCTTGGGGACTATAACAACCAAAAAAATATTTCTAAGTACCCCTAAGAGACATGTTCGGCGAAAGGCCGTCTCGGTCGACTCTGTGTCAGCCTGGAACGCCAGAAGCAGCTCCACGATGTCAGCAAAGCCATTCCTTAGGCTAGGATACCCAGTAACCTAAGAATAAAAAGGCCTCTCTTTTTGGTATTGGGTAACTTTATAAGGAACCTAGGACTACAAAAAGGGAATAAGGGTACTACTGGGCATCCTAGTTATGTAACCATTGGGTCAAAGGGTGTACGGGCGCAGATGCTATCGGCAAAGATTGGAAGTTGCCCGAATCAACACCCAAGAGTCTCAACAGCCAGCTGCAAAGCATCGAAGCTTCCCGGACGCACATAGGCGTGACCTAGGTCCCTCGTATACAGCCTCATTGTGATAAGGATACCCTTTTTCCTACTATTCGCAATTTTAATAAGGGGACCCTAACCCTAAGGCTCAACATAGCTCAAAAGCATCATATAGTATGGTCTTTGGGCCCCGAAGCCTTAAAATATAAGTCCTTAGAGCCTACAGGGAACTTCAGAAAGTTGGAATATCGTTCCATGGTAGGATACCCTATAATTTACCATAAAGGGTTTAGGATAATGATATTCCAACTTTCTAGCCTTAAAATATGAGTCCTTAGAGCCTAACCCTATCCCTCCAAGGACCTCGTAGTTACGGCCCTAGACCCCTTAAGGACCCCATAATAAGGTCCCTGGAGGCATAGGGTAAGGGCACAAATCAAAAGGGTACTACTCAGGAACCTCGGGGCTCTCCAGCAGGGCACGCACCATTTCCAGGTCACCTCGCCTCGGCGACATACCCAGACCTTCCAAAATCCCTTAATTAAGGAATATACCTTAAATCATATTAAGGATCCTACTACAATTTAAGGTATATTCCTTAATTAAGGGGTTTTGGAAGGTCTGGGTACTGGGGAGATCAGATACAGAGCATTAATACCCGAAGGGTCCAGGTATCTCCATAGGAGGGTCCGGAATCTCCGAGGGAGAGCCCTGGGGTCAAAACCCCTAAAGCCCAATAAACAGCAGTCAAACTGGGAAAGGGTCCAAGTATTGTTATGGTACATACTTAGACCACCAAAATACCCAACAAGTATATACCACGATGATACTTGGACTCTTTGGGTAAGCCCAGGAGAGGGGTACTTAGACCACCAAAATACCCTTTAAGTCTATACCATAATGATACTTGGACCCTTTGCCCTGGGGAGATCAGGTACAGAGCATTAATAATCACAAGAGGGTTGGAAACGGGAATGTTCAGGTAGACTATATAGAATTAAAATATTCAGGCAAGACCAATACCAGGCCACAAGAGGTAGCCCCGGGATGTTTGGCATTGAAGGCGTTGGCCACAAAAGCTATAGGAACATCTTGTACAACACGAAGCACTACGACGACGACAACACCCCCCGATTCCGACTGACTGCTCATCCTGCTACTTCTGCAGACCGTTGGAACCGACAATTTAAAGCCTGGGCGTACTGCATACCCTGTATCTACGAAGACCCCATACATGTTCCCAAGAAACAGGGCCAAGGTGCACGGCGGCTTCAGATAGGATCGGAGAACCGCTGCTTTGGTGCTCTTTGGCACCAGCCTGATGTTGGGATGACATACGTCTGTGTTTAAAGGAAAGCTAAAAGCTTGGAGTTTGGGATATGGGTTGTTGTCAAAATTGTGGCCCTTTTTGGTTGGACCCGAAAAGGGACCCGAATTTTGACAACCACCCATATCGAGCTCGCGATTCGAGGATTGTAGACTTTCGGATGTAAGGTTGTCTTACGGGCTTTTTCTTGAGAAGGAATAAGCAAGATAGGACTCTGACCTTGAGCATATGAATGACCCCTTAAACACTAAACCCTAAGAAACTGATTACATGATTCTATTTTTTTGTGTTGAAGCCCCTATACCAGTTGGGGTTTGGGAATCCATCGATGATCAAAAAGCTTAGTTCAAGGGTTCCTACAAGGGATCTTTAACTGCTCTGTAGAAGCTCTAAACCTTAGGTGTCTTCTTGAATTAGAGGGTGTTTGGGGACGCTTTACACCTAATTAAAGGCTGCAAAGTGACGCTATGGTAGAATGTCGGGTTTCTGTAGTAGGAAGTTTTGCTATGAATTCAGAAAGTATGCCCCAACACTTTGGGAAATCACCAAACAGGAAGTACTGCCACTTACTCGGCTTCGATATTCGGGAGCTTATTGTTCATTGCAGGGATTGTTTCCGCGTCGGAAATTCACAACCTTCCGATTTTAGGATTTAAGGCGTTGAGCGTTTAGGGCCAAGGTTTAGGGGTTGTTGGGATTAGTAGGGGCTTAGGGCGGAAATGTCTAAAACAAATGTATGTGTTCCCAAGAGTCCCCATAATACCTACAGTCTCCTTCGCAGCTCCTTTCTGGGCTACATAAAAATTTGGTAAAGCCGTGTCAAGTCAAGGCACTATACTATACATGAGACTATAGGTAAGTATAGCCATGTTGAAAAACAAAACAAAGACAAAAAGGTGAGGGCAGCCGTAGCAATGCTGAAGGCTAAGAACAAAGGGGAGTAACATGCCAAGGCAGGGCCCCGTCTAAACTTTATCTCCAGGATGCCCGGTTATCGAGGAATAAAAAGGGCTCCCTTTTTGGCATTGGGTAACTTTATAAAGAACCTGGGACTACAAAAAGGGAATAAGGGTACTACTGGGCATCCTAGCCCCCAATTTTCGGAAACCCTAAACCCTTTATAGAACCCTTATAGATCCCTTTAAGGAGCCCTTATAGATCCCTTTAAAGGTACCCCTACTACTGGGCATCCTAGTTATCTTCTCAGACCCAACAGTGCAACAATCAGAAAACCCACGCGTTGCAGTCCTAAGGTCCCTAAGTCAAGCTAAGTCCCGAACCGAAACCCGGTACAACCCCTACGTGGACCCCCAAAAGCATGCAGAATAACAGCCTTCTTATATGTTTTGGGCCTACTTGGACCCCCCAAAGTATGTAGAATAATAGCCCTTTTTACATGTTTTTGGGCCATTAATTTACTTACTTTTGGGGGGTCTAGGCTAGGTACCCCTCAACAAGCCTGGATCAGCAGGCGCACAATCTCCAACTGGCCTTCAGCGCACCTCAGTTTGATTCTAGGTTAGCCCTTAAACCCAACCCTAAACCGCTAAACCCTAAACCTCAAACCCTAGACTCCTAAACCCTAAACCTCAAACGCCTCAAACCCTGAACTCCTAAACCCTAAACCTCAAACCCTCGACCCTATCCA